AAATACCAGATCAGATGTATGTATATGCTAATCAGGCTTGAGCAGCAAGTTCCATCTTGAGGGAGAAGTTGGTTGTGCATGTTGGAAGCAGGAACTTGTTCAACGATGAAACTACCCTTGTTATATTACAGAAATCCAGGAGGGGTCTTCAGAGAGATCACTGGTGCTTGAGGACACGAGCTTGAAGTTCGTCACTTCCCTTCCGAGTTCGCTTAGTCACTATGCTCTAGCAGATGTGTACACTGCAAGGGGGTGTTTAATGTTTGTAGAAATCTATGCTTTTAAATACTCAAAGTTTTATTTGGTAGCTGTAAAATCAAGCAGATTAAACATTTCTCTCTGTGGGGCAGTGACAGGCCTGTTGCTGCAAATCTAAGAAGTGAAACTGAGCTATAGGATGTTTTTTACAGCTTTGATGAAATTTTGCATTTATTGATGTTACAGCAGGTATTTGTCCTCTATCAACATTTAAGTAAGGCAGAAGTAAAAAAAGTGCCTAAAAGAAGTTTAGGGTGCTGTGCAGTGACTGGGAAAGCACAGCTGGCCCTTTAAGTGTTTCAGCTTTGTTTGTCAGCCTGCATCAACTGCTGCACCCCATAGAACTGCTAAAGCTGGAAAAAGATGTTTAAGATCATCGTGTCCAACCTAGCACTACCATGTTCATCAGTAAATGAATGTAGTTTGTCTATGTAGTAGACATGTCCTCAAGTGCCATGTCCATATGTGTTTTGAAGTCTTCCAGGCATGGTGATTCTGCCAGTTCCCTGGACAGCATGTTCCAATGCTTTACAGCCCTTTCTGAAGAATATTTTCATAGCACCTATATTAAATCTCTCTTGGCTCAGCTTTAGCTCATTTCCTCTCATCGTGTCACTTATTACTTGGAGACTGGCCCACACTTCTCTACAGCCTCCTTTCAGATCGCTGTAGAGAGTGATAAGGTCTTACTTTATGTGCAGTTTCTGAGAGCTGAATGCAGCTGACCTATTTCTGTGATGGTGTTGACTTCCCTTTTCACTTTCTCGTGTGAACTTGCTCCTTTGAACCTCTGTTGGAATTGCAGCCTGATAACAAAGTGCAGGCTAGCACAGTCATTTAGCAGAATGAAAACTAGTCACCTTCAATCTTTGACCTTCTTCCAAGGTTTGATAGTATTGCATAAGTGTAGGTGCAGCCTTATTGTTTCATAATGCAGTGTCATGCTTGCGTGGATATTTACAGTATGGTCTCTGCCAAAAGTAGCATGAGAGTGGTTTGCCTTTACTTTGTTCTTACCACAGGGAAAAAAAAAATACGATTGTGAAAGAGTTGGAAGAACTAAGCCAGAGGGGAAGAGCAGGTAATTTTTGGTAAAGTTTGTAAGAACATAGAATTTGAGGTCATATTCACTCCCAGGTAATTGGTATTCCTTGTATGTGTGGTATTCACTTGTATGTTTGGGAAGTCCTCAGGTAGCCTCTGGATTATTACTCCCTTGGCAGTATCTACTGCCAAGAAGTCCTTTTATGTTAGTTTGGGGGGTTTTTTGTGGGTTGATTTTTTTGTGGTTATTTTTTTGGTGGGTATTTTTGTTTCGTTGGTTTTTTGTGGGGGTTTTTTTTTTTTTTGCCTTTAGCCTTATGCTGGTTACTGGCACTTTGTTTTGAAAGCCTACAGAAAATTAATAAATTAGATCTGGGGGAAGAAAATATATAAGATGATGATTACCAGAAAAAGTGTGCTGTTGTGATGATGGGTGAATTTCTCCTCAGAACCAATCTAAACCAAACTATTTATGTCTGAGATACACTTTACTCAGCTTTTATTCACACCCTTTTCTTCCAATGTGTAGCTGCTTCAGAATGGAGATAAAAGGAAGAGTACCACAATCATATCTTGCAAATTGTGACTGTCAGGAAGATGAGCTGTTAATCTTACCCAGAATTTGAATTGAACTCATGTAACTGACAGGTTTCTAAAAGGATTTTGTCCTCAAGGTTAGGGGCAAGGTTGGGCAAGTGCAGGCTAGGAAATCATACCGCACCAATCATGCATAACAGCTGAGGTTACTTAAGAAAGGTAAACTTTTCTGATTTGACTCATGCTGTCTTGAAAGCTTTACTGCTTTTCTGCTTTGATGTGATGATTCCCAGATTTCAGGTATATTAGCTCTTCAGTCTATTGAAACTGTTTCAATTTTCTTAGACTTGTCTGTGTCTTCTTTTCTAGTTGCTAGTATGTATTATGGTATTCCAGTTTTCATCTCTTCCTTCTTCTCTTCCATTTTCCCCTGAATTGTGAACCTCCTTACTCATGCTGATTTTGGGAACTGAGCTATGATTACCTGTGTGAAGGGTCTTTGCAGTTTGCAGCAACTGCAGTGTCTGAACGCAGGTGGGATCCTTACTTTGTTACATATATTGTTAGTGCAAAAAGCCAGGACTTCTCAATCCATTTCTTCTTTCCTTGATAGTCTTTATTATTTGATAGCTTGATGGGCTAGACCACAGGGCAGGGAGGGTTTCAAGGACATCAGAATAAATGCTGTCTTGGACTTCAATTTCAGCAAAGGCTTTGATTGTTCTTTTTTGTCAAGAAAATCAAGCAGAAATGCATCACCTTATTTTTAAAGACGTCTTATCGCTCTCTGGGCTGTTCGTTCTCAAGTCATCATAGCAGTCTCTTTAATGATTATAATGGTCTGTGAAACACTTTATGCAAAAAACACACAGAAGTGAAACAAAGAGTTTTAACTCTACCAGCAGAACTCTGCTAGAGGAACATTCCTAATAACAATTTTGAGTCAAAATTTGAAACATTTGGGAATTTATTTGCAGAGATATGTTCAATGAAACAACACTTTTCAGGCATTTATACGCACTATAACATTCCAGATTTTTTATAGACACTCTGAAAAATCTGCCTAATTTACTGCATCATGGTATATGTGCTTTGTTTCTTTTAAGTACTTCCAGAACACTTAATCTATTTCAGTTTAATGGATAACCCAAGTTTTATCCAGCTAAAGAGTCCTTTATCAAATTTACTGTCCTGGTTAGACAATTCCTATTGATTAAGTTTTCTGGGGTGTACTCAGCTACAAAATGGCTCCCTTACTGCGCCTGCAATGTGTTAGTCAAGTTTTCTGGGATGTAAAGACCTTTGACTCCTTATCTTTCTTGTTCTATGACTTCCAATTAATCTCTGGTTAATTGATAACCATTGAAAAATTTTTTATTGAATTTTGTTCTTCAACTATTGATTAGGCTCTCTAAGAGGTATGGGTCCATGGAGTTCCTTCCTGCAGTTACAGTGAGGTAATTTCTCAGGGTTTTCTACTGACACTCAGCCAACATACATCTAAATCAAAACCAGCTAAAATCACAGTCAAACTTTTTCAGCTAATTAAATGCAGTTAATTACAAATTTTTTTTTTAAATCACAAAACTCCTGGTTAACTAAGATATAATTAAATGTCAAAGAAATGTATTATTCAAACCTATTGACATTAAAAACAAAGTAGTATTGCAGTTTACAAGAGCAGTTTGCTGTTCTTGGAACTGAGATTGTGGCTATGACATACTTAGTTCAGTAAAATTTAGCTGGAACCGACAAATGTTTCACTGCTGTTTGTCCTTTGGAGTTATTTAATGTGCTTAAGCAATGTAATCCTTACCACTTCTTATAATTCTATATCTAAACATACAAAATCATCTTGGTATGTTAACCTGGAAATTAGTTTGTGGATCCACTAATCAAGTATTGTTTTCTGTTTGATTTGGGTTTTTGTTTTTTTTTGTTTTATGACCTACAGGAAAGTCTCCTAGTCTTGAAGTGGTTATAAGAATGTGATTGCAGTAGAAAAAAAGAGAAATAGTAGACAGAAATAGTGTTCTGTCTCCAAAATTAGGCCTAAATGTAACAAAAAAGGGTTTAGTGAAATTAGTGTTTCAGTATTGTTCCTAAGTAATTGGTCTGCAGAGAAAGCCCGTGTATTCCAAAAAGTAGGGATGTTTGATAGGAAGGTGAGGATTCATGTGAATAGGAGAGCTGAGTGGAAGCACCCGAAGAAACAACAGAAGAGAGACAGAAATGGCCAGGACTGATGGCACGTAGATTTGCAGATCGTCATGATTACAGCACGTTTGAAAGGCCAGGTAGAGAAAACAGAGGACGGCCCGGAGCAAGTAACAAGTTCCTGTACTCAGATGTGGAGATTCAAGCTACTAAGGTAGGATAGTGGGACAGTAAAGAACAGGGCTGGAGCCTTGGAGGCATACAGACAAAAGAGACAAAAAGCAGGCAGTCAGTACTGATGGCTCACAAACATGTGACAGGATGGAAGACAAAGCATTTCTGAATCACTGTTAGCTCCCGGGGGTACAAATGGTGCATCAGTGAATGGCTGCCAGCCTAGCCAGCATCCCTTTGTCCCTGTCATTCCTGGCTGGAGCACTTGGGTATCTATCTGAATGCCGGGCACACAGGTGGGACAAATCCCTCTCAATGCCTATGAGTGTAAGTTAGTGAGTGGGATCAGTTTTGTGTTTTTCTGAATTCACCTTTTGCTCCCGTAAAGCTGTTTTCTCGCTTTGCTTTGTTGGTTCTGCAGTGTCACGGTATCTTTTGTTACAGCCAATCACTGCTGATACCAAAGCAAAAAGCAGCAGATACAAATGCTGACCCACTTACCTACTGTGGAATGCTTTGATTTTGATGTTACTTCATTTTGTGAAAGATGATTTCCCCAGCACACAATTGTGGTGCAGGAAACCTTCGCTTTCGTTGCGTTTCTTTGTCATTGCAGAGCACGGAATATTTCTGTTTCATCACAGAAAATTGTCAAGTGCTGATTAGTTTCTGGATTTGGTGACAGACTCTTTTATTTAAATAGTACCCTGTTCTCCCTGATCCTTGCATGTGCATCTTTAAACTCGTTTTGCCTTTTTTTTTTTCCTCAGGTCCTTGGTACTAATTAGTACTTCTGTCTTCATGGGTTTTATTGCTGTATATTGGTTTCTTTACACTTTTCGCCCTTCATATTGTACTTGTGAGTTTTCACAAAGAGAACAAAAGCTGAAGACTGTCCCTTGCAGAGTTTTCTCCCTTGCCACATACTTCATTGCAACATAGTTGGGGCAAAATGCCAAAATTGCTATTGTTTCTTAAGGTGGCTCATAGATAGAGGCTTAGCCACGCAAGCCTTGTGCTGAGAACAGGGAACAACATGTCAGGGCACACACCATGAGCGGCGAACGTATTTGCTGTGTAAAAGTATGAATTGAGCAATGAAATGGTAATTTTTAATTAGGTATTTCTGCACAGAGGTTTAGAGTTTCAGGGCTCGATGGGTAAAATGTAATTTGAAGAAACTCCTGTTGTGATGGATAGTCTTGTCTCCCGACTGCAGTATGTTGTGGGCTCTAGAATCACGGGTTTTATGCATTTAGCACTGGGTCCTTGACAACATACGTGTGCAGCTGGCTGGGCACTGAACTTCGGGGGTGGGGGGGTTGAGGGGTTGGTCTCAAATCTTAATGGGAGGGAGGTGAATCATAGTGGTTGTGCCTTATGCTATGTTTACTTACTTCCAGGGAAGTGTACTGAGGGTGGTACCTACCAACAGCAGACGTTTTCATCTTTTATCAGTGTGTGTGACTGAGGGAGTCCAGCCAGTGACTGAGCGGACGCAGAAGGTTATTGACTTGTCAGCAGAAGACCCAGTTTTCGCCTGCCTGCTCTAAGTATAAACTTCTCTTTTTTTGTTCTTGTTGATTCACTTGGGTGTAAAGAAGGGAAAAGGACCTGTGAGGAGAGAATTAATGGAAGTAATTTGTTTGTTTCTGTCTTGTATAGATAATAGTGCTCCCAATTCCAAGCTCTAAGCTTTGCAAATGCGGAAGTGTTTTCTTTCAATACATGAGTGTCACAGAAAGATCTTGCTTACCTGTGTCTTTCTCATTTGCCATTTGGTTTAAGCTTGTAAAAGTTTAGGTTCAGTAGACATCTCAGGTAATGGGGACAATAGACATCAGTTTTAAATTTTATTTTCTAAGGGGATTTTTTTCCTCCTAGAACTAGTAGATTTTCCTTTTGTAGTATCTTTAGAGTGGGAGTTGTACATTTTGCTAGGATGACTTCGCACATGAGGACTTGCTGCCAGCAGGCAGAGAGGTCAGACAGGTCACAGGAAGGTCTGGGTTGCTAATACATTAAGGGTACTTTTCTGACATTTTCTTAACCTGGTGATATTACCACAGACAAGCAGAAGCTTTCTTGTGTGATGGCACATTATTGAGATAGGTATTTTGCCTGATGAAATCTAAGCCAGCCCCATGAGCAGCCCAGCACTGTTGGGCATCACTTAGACAGGTGTGCTTTGTCTGTTTGTACACAGGATGGTGATTGCCAAGGCATGGGTTCTAAAGAAGCATTTTGATGGTTTTCCCAAAACCAGTGACTTTGACCTGAAAAAGATAGAGCTACCAAATCTAAAGGATGAAGGTGAGCAGAGCACTACTTGTTACTACTAATTTTTCTGGAGGTTATATGATTGCTGATGTGTGGCTGTGGATCTATAAAACTGCATGTTTCTCTTTGGAATTTCAAAAATTGCTGGCTTGTCACAACCCTCTCCCCTTAAGGGAGAAGAACAGTTGCTGAAGAAGCATACTGGTGGGGCTGGTGGTTTCAAAGACACTTTGCCTTCTGATGAGGCCCTTAGAAACAATGATTGAATTCTAAGTCCATTGCACAGCAAATGGGGCCTACCTTTCACAGTTTCTGCTGCCTAGTCACACTTGCTGTCTGATGACAAAGGCATTCAAATGTGTTTGCAAATGGAAAAAATCACCTAAGTGATGTGGCCTCGAAACAAACAACCACAAGGGGAAGAGAATTTGTTTAATGCAGAAAAAGAGAAGTGGACTGTGAGTCAGAACCAATGAAGTAACTGTATTACGTTTCTTACATGCTTTACTAGTAAAATGTTTTTATCTACTTTAATTTTCAAAATCCTTTGGAAAAAGATGGAGAACACGATACCCTATAGGAGTATGTTTTCAGTGGAGTTCTTAATGCTGATAGAGAAAATATTGAGAATAATGGTTGGGGAGAAAGGAGTGCCTGCACTGGGAATGAGCCGGCAGTTGAAAGACCTCGGGGCTGAAGAAGAAAGATGGCAAGATTTCTGCCTTCGTTCAAAATCTATTTTTTTTAGCATTCCTTATCTTATTTGATCTGTTGCAACAAGAAGATAGGTTGAATATAAATAGAAAAAGAAAGACATTTTTTATTCCTGCGTTTCTCTGTTTTGAAAAGATTAAGGAATATGATGACTTACCATCATATCAATAGCAAGAGCTGTAGATAAAAGAATGAACTTTGATTTTTGGTTTCACATGGACATTTGTACTGCATTTTGTTGAGACTCATCCCACCACTTGTCATTTACAAAATTTGCCACACTTTAAAAGGTGTGTAGAAGGAACTGTGCAGAAGGACATTAAAGTACCAATTATGTTTACAACTTAAATGTTTGAAAATGGATTTTTTCCTACATTTGCGGATATACTTAAAAATTTAATGCATGTGGGTATTTAAGAACATGGAGTATTTTTTTTCCTTCATATTTTAATCCCTAAAACAAAAAGAGGCATAAGTTCACACTGCAATGACACTTCTAAAGGCACTGGCCTTCCTTGTTATGTTACATGGCTTTTCTGCTCACTCTTGAGTAATGGGAAGGTACTTAGACATCTGAGTAAATTTCCAGCTAGACCGCTGCAGCACAAGCAATGAAAAACATTAGTAGGTGGAGATGAACCGCTAAAAGTGCTGTGTATATGAGAAGTTTAAAACATGTTTAACAATGTCTTTCCTAAGAATTAGCTTTGTTTGAGACAGTAAAGTGGATTAGGCTATTTAGAAAAGCTAAACTAATGTCTTCTGTTTAAGGCAGCCAATTGGTTTTTGGTATTTGACCTGTGCCACCCTCTTCTGGCTGAATCATGGGATGACATTTTATGTACATGGAAACTAAATGAAAATTTTGTTTAGGAATTCTGGCTGCTTGACCTTTCTGTAGAAAGAGGAGACACATGCAAAATTGCAAGGTTGAAAATAAGATAGTATGCTAAAGTTACACTTGGAGAAATTTTCTTTTTCAACAGCATACCAATAACCCGAAATTAAAGAATGTCGTAGTTGTTTCTGGAAAGTTTTTCCTAAACAAAGACAGGATACAGGGGTTTTGAGCTGTCAGGAGTTCATATCAATTTAGCTGAAAGACTGACTTGTGGAAACTATGCTCTACTGCACTGTTAATATCCAGGAATTTGCTTTGTCTTTTGTTGCAGAGTTGCTGCTTGAATCAGTGTTTCTCAGTGTTGATCCTTACATGAGGTATACCTTTTTGTCCTTTCTGAATTTCTGACTGAAGCGCTTCATTTGAATTGCCATTTAAACATCAAAACAACAGTGGGCAGCACCCACTGCTGTTGTCAGTGTCCCAGTGCCTTTGTGTGCTTTTTAAAAAAATGTATGTGAATTACAAGACTCAATATATGGAGCTGTGCCAGATTTAGCTAGATGTTGGGGTAACATTTCTGCTGCCCTAGACTTTTCTTGGAATCAGCTGTTGTTCCTTGTCATGTCTTCAACTGGAATGCAATGTACTCAAATGAGAATGCAGCCTCGTAGCAGTTCCTGCTTAATTTAACTTAGCAAACTTGTATTTAAGGACATTTTATTGCTGGTATTCCCAGTAGGGGGGGTAGTTGAAGCACAGGGAGACTGGGTAGTTTGAAGAGGCGTTGAGAACACTGAATTCAGAGATAGTTCTCTGAGTCTCAGGCTTCTTGGAGTGATGGACCATGCTGGGAAGATTAATACTTTCATCCCGCCAGCACTGTTACCCAGGATGCCCAAGTAGCTGGCTCTGGAAAACATCTGGTTATGGTGTTACAATGACAAGCTAATTGTTATCTGTCAACAACAGATGCTCTCTTTCTGGGTCAAACAGTTGCTACTACTTCCTAGTGTGTCTGGAGCATGATTAAAGTTGCATGCAGTAAGCTGTGTTTGTCTGTGTTGCAGACCTTACAGTCGAAGGGACATGAAGGAAGGCGACATAATGATCGGCACGCAGGTTGCCAGGTAAGACTTTCAGTTCCTGTTATCAATGTGCATGGCAGGTCACAACAGGAATGTGCTGACACTCCAGACATTTGCAGCCTATGTTACCCATCCTTGACTTGTGTCTATGTACTTCTGCTACTGACGTTCTTACCTGTAAGTGGTTGGAATGTTTTTCCTCTAAGAATCTCTTTTGCCTTTCTGGAGAATATATAGACCTATGATAAATTCTGTATGTTGTTTCTGGTGATAATGTCTTCAAAGGTAATTTTTACAAGTGTAAAGGACCAACCATTGTACTTGGCACACATTTTGAACTTCACATTTTAAAACCTCATGTCGTAGTAGCTGCATGTCTGCAACCATGCATGCTATCTACTCCACTTGAAAATATTTCTGCATCACCAAAGATACAGCCCGAGCCAAAGGGTTATATAACCTTAAATCCATCCTTTTCTCAAGCTTGTGGTAATGTAGCTGCACTGATGTTTCCCTCTGTTGGCTTGTTCCTGCTGTGCTGCCTGTAAGTTGCTGCCGGGGAGCATCTGTGGTCTTTGACTCTTGCGTTTCTCTGCAGAAATACTGAGGGCTGGGATAAATTAACAACCAACTCTGATGAACAGAAGGCCAGCTGTTTCTAATAATTCTAAGTTGCTTATCTACCCCATTCCAACACAGTTTTCTTGTTGAGCTAAGAAAGTGGAATTTTCATTTGGCATAGAGGTGCTGATATGGATATCTCCCTGATTTTAAATGTTGTTTTTTACCTGGTTTCATTAACCCAAGAGGTTCCATCTTCAGGATCTTCAATTTTTAAATTAGGTGCAGAGAACAACAGCCTATCAGCAACTCCTTGCTGTTCCATGCTTTAATCCCAATATCCTCTTTCCTGCATTCTAACTTACAGAAGCCTGATCTCAAACCAAATTGGTGCTAGTCAAAGAAACAGTTGGCACTTCTGTGTGAAAATTTGGTTTATTGTGGGCGAGGCTGAATCTAAAATCATCTTGCCCGTATTTCCCTCATGATAAGAGGTTGTGGACATTTCAGGAAAGACACTTGACACCTACAGCATTGGGAGCTATGCGTTAACAATCATGATGTGAAATATTTCTTTCCTGAATCACAGGAAGAATGGAAGAGCCAGTATTGATTTGTTTCTAGTTTTTTGTTTGTTTGTTTTTTGGTGGGTTTTTTTGTTTGTTTGTTTTATTTATTTATTTTGTTTTTAAACAGGGTTGTAGAAAGCAAAAATTCTGCTTTCACAGTGGGGGCCTTTGTCGTGGCTAACAGGGGCTGGAGAACTCATTTTATCTCTGATGGGAAAGACCTACAACTCCTTCCTTCCAATTGGCCAGAATCACTCCCGAAATCTCTAGCTCTTGGAACAGTTGGCATGCCAGGGTAAGTTTGGAGATGAAAGGACAACTATCCCCTGGATTTTAGTGTGCAGGAGATTTCTTCCTGTCTGTATTGACCTTTGTCTCTGACCTTTGTTCTACTACCATACTGCCTATTTGCACTGGTAAAAAAAGTGTGCTTCTAGATGCCCTTGTCCTGTATAGGGCATGAAGTTTAGCCCATCCTCAACATCAGAGAAGAGTTGCCTTGGAGATTATCGTGCTTCTCCTTGAGGAGCTGTAATAAGTCAGAAAGAGGATCCAGGAAGAGCTGGAAATAATGTAGTTCAGTCTATGTTAACCTCAGTGGAAAGTCTCAAACTTCGCTGGCACCCGGACTAGGACTCTGCTTTTACTGATTGGGCTCAGTTGCTATCACTGTATTTCCAGAATGAATCCCAACATGCAAAAGACAGATGCTGTATCATGCAAAATAGATGTTCTTTAAATTGCACTGCAGCAGACAGAAGTGTTGTGCTTTGGAATCTGTATGTACTATTGGAAACTCTCAGTCATCTGCTTGCATTTCTTACTTCATTCTGTGTAGTTTTTATGGGAGATCAGGAATTAGGCAGTCCTAATGATCTGGAGGGTTTGCAAAATGATTGTAAAATTGTGTATGGTAGAGAACTTCTCAGATTTCATTTTAATGTCAGTTAAGATGCATGTTTTTCTAGATGTCTTACAGATCAATTCAGTTAGCTCTTTCAGTTGGGACCATGTGGGAAGCTCTGAGCTTGAATTTAGAAATTAGAAGAGTTCTGTGGGATTCTGGGCCAGTCGATGAGCTACTTTAGTGGTTCCTACAGATTACTAATGCACTTGTGAGACCTGAAGTACAGATTCCATTTTTGGGTCCCTCACTACGAGAAAGACTTTGAGTTGATGGGGCACATGCAGAGAAGGGTAACAGAGCTGATGAGGTACCTGGAGCACAAGTCTTATCAGAAGCAGCTGAAGGAGCTGGACTTGTTTAGCATGGATAAAAACAGGCTCAAGGAGATACTACTCTTCTCTACAACTCTATTACCTGAATGAGGTTGTAGCCAAATGGGGGTCAGTCTCTTCTCGCAGGTAACAAGTGACAGGACAACAGGAAATGGCCTCAAGCTGCATTAGGGGATGTTCGTGTTGGACAACATCAGGAGGAATTTCTTCACAGAAGAGATTGTCAAGCGTTGGAATAGACTGTCCAGGGAAGTGGTGGATTCACTGTCCCTGAAAGTGCTCAAGAAACAACTGCATGTGGCACTTAGAGCTAAGGTTTAGTTGATCAAAGGTTGAACTCAGTGATCTTGGAGGTCTTTTCCAGCCTTAACAATTCTGTGTTTCATCTAGTAGCCATAGCACAGTAGTCCTCTGGAGCAGTGAGCACATCAGTTCAGCAAGCTTTTCTCAGCCTTTTTATCTTTTTCTGCCAGCTTTGATTTGTGATGAGTATTGTAGTATTGCATTTTATTTAAATGGTATGCTTTGTCTCACCCCTCCAAAATGTATGGTATATCCCAAGCCTGTGGTCCTGCCCTGAACCATCATGTATCTGTAATCCCATTGGCACAAGTCTGATTCCCGCCCACTTCAAATTCCCCTCTTAAGCTGCGCTAGCGAAATCAGTCACTCTCTTAACCCTTCTCCACTCTTAGCCCTTCTCCTCCTTTCTTGGCCCTTCCCTCCCCTAGGCCTTCTCCTTCCCCCTTTCCCCTTCCCTCTCAGTAACCATGCGGCTCCCGGGAATCGGACCCCAATAAACCCTCATTTAATCAGCACCCTCAGAAGCCGTGTGGAGTCTCCTTGCCTGCCTGCTGCAGCCAGCAAACCCACAGCCTAGGGGCCCTCTGGGGACACCCTGGGGTGCACCCCCCCAGACGAACTACAACAGGGTATAATTTAATCTAGTAGATACCAGCTGGCAACCAACCTCTGTCTGCACTGCATTTACTATCTCTTCCAGTAGGTAACTGAGTTGTCACAGAGTTATCTGTGCTTCTCCTTCTGACTAATGAGCACAATGAAAACTGTTTTCACCTTAGAGAGACTTCTGCCTCAACAACCTCTTTCCCAGCAGTGTATCTGTGGTTTTTTTTTCTGAGATGGCTTTGAAAAAGCCAAATTAAGACGATTACAGTAAGTTTTGTATTTCACAATATAGGAAAACTTAATCTTGTTCTGGTGGTGACAATATTTTGGATCAGTGTGATCAAGTCACATCTGGTTGTCTATCGTCTTTTATTCCTCACCGAACATTCTTTCCTTTTTTTTTGCAGCCTCACTGCATATTTTGGTCTGCTGGAGGTCTGCAAGATGAAGCCAGGAGAGACAGTCCTGGTTAATGCTGCAGCTGGCGCTGTGGGCTCTGTGGTGGGGCAGCTCGCTAAAATTGGGGTGAGTGGCTTGAAGTGCTCATACTTGCTGCTGAGAAGACATAGCTGTTAAACAGGGCAACAAGGCCATGAATGATCAGTAGGACAAGCATCCCTGAAGACATGCATACACTAGGGTCTTGAGATAGAAAAGCTCCTGAGAACATAGCAAATCTAGTTGGATGTTTCAGGAGCTCATATGCTGACAACAGCTTTACTTTAAGGGTGAGCCCAACTGAGCCTCTGTTGTCAGGGGATGTTTATGAATGATTTTCTCCTTTCCTTGCAGGGTTGCAAAGTGGTTGGCTGTGCTGGCTCAGATGACAAGGTTGCCTATCTGAAAAAAATAGGATTTGATGAAGCCTTTAATTACAAGACTGTTAAATCTCTGGATGAAGCACTGCGTAAAGCCTCTCCTGATGGCTATGACTGTTTCTTTGACAATGTAAGTGCAGAGAGAAGGCCTTGCCTTGAGCAGCTGTCATTTTCTTTAAACTGTAGCAGGAACTCAATATTGTAATCATCTGTTTGAAGTCTATGCCAGGATTTCAATATGGAGATCCATTTAATCAAGCAATGGTCTCTGTAGGAGCCTGCTGCTTTTCTGTTCTCTTCCCACACATATTTCTGCATCTGACTTAAGCAGTAACAGAAAGAACAAAAACGAAAAGGCAAAGCTGGATTGTTGGCACAGTTTGTAAGTGAAGAGAGGTTTTACTTCACTCTCTCAGAAGCATGGCACATTTTTGGAAGTGAGGGTCATAGTAACATGAAGCTGATTCAGTCCATTCCTGGCCCCACCTTCAGCCACAGGCAGTTCTCTGCTATTGCTGAAAGGGGAGTTGAGTGTGGATGGCTCCACATTATGTGGTGGTGGAGGGTGTACTGGTACCTGTAAACAAAATAGTAGCAAGGCCCACTTGCAAATCTACTGGAGCAGCCCTCAGAAAGTTTCTGACATCTCCCAAATATAGCTGGAATTAATAGGGACAATGTACTGTTCTTGATAGGTGTTTGAATATGAACATCTTGTTTTGAAGGTTAAGAAAATTTAATAGTATGGATGCAGTTAAATTGTGTCAGTTCACTTTCAAGATAAAGAACTACCCCTGTCTCTTTTTGATTTCCTACTGCAACTAACATATGTTATCATACCTGATAGTATCATACCCGCCACAGGGGTGTTAGCTGATATACGGGTCTTAAACTCCCTGGCTAGCCACCCAGTTTAAAAGAAACCATCATCACCTCTTTAGCATGTCTTTCTTTCAGAAGTGCTTCTGCTAATCCAGGGATGAAGGCTATGGTGTTTTGCCTTTCTCTGGCAATTGAAAGGAATGTTTGGTGTCAGAGCAAAGTGCTTGTCTCTGTGGCAGGAGCTCCTGCCACTTGGCCTTAGCCTTCCAAATTTCATGTCCCATGCTGCTAAGGTCTTAAATAGGTTTTATGGTCATGTCCATTCCCTTCATTCTCACTTCTAACTTTTCTGCAGAGCTCCTCACAGCAGTCTATTTTCTCACAGCTTTTCACTATTAAAAGCTTCTTTTCACAGCACATCCCTATTTTGGAGATGAGAACCATAAAGTAAAAAGTTTACATCACCATGATGTAAAGATGTAAAATTGCAGACTGATCCGTGGGAAAAGCAGAGTTGGTGCTTCTTAGCACCCTTAGGAGGAGAGATCTATGTGCTAGTCCTTCCTGATGCTTCCAAACCAAGCTTCATGAGGCAGATTTGGAATTAAAACTAATTCCACACATTCATAACTAATTTTTAGAAGAGTGAGATTTGAGTCCTCATAGCACTGTGTAAATCCAATGGTTTCTGCAGCCACCAAGTCTTTGGAGCAGTGGAAGTCGTTTCCCCCAGATGAACCTGTTGGTGCAATAATACAATGTCGGCAGATTTTGGCAGTCAATGCTAAACACTGGATTGTCTCTAATGCACTGGATTGTCTCTAATGCTGCACATGTTCTGGTTCTTGTAGGTCGGTGGAGAATTTGCCAGTGTTGCTATCAACCAAATGAAGAAATATGGAAGGATTGCAGTCTGTGGCGCTATCTCTCAGTACAATGACTCTGTGCCTCAGAAGGGTGAGGGCCTTTATTGTATCTAAAATTATTTTGTCTTTGGTGATGACAGAAATACATAATGGCAGTCTACTGTTTACTTCCCTGTGCCTTTAAGTGTATATATTTGTATGTATTTCGGTAACCAACTACTGCTGTGGGATATGTGGGACACTGGGACCATGCTCCTTGTGTGTACATGCACTCATCCTCCTTGTTCACCTCTCTGGTGAACATCAGCTGATTAGGAATGAAGGAGTGGCTAAGATACTTAAAACAGGACTCCACATGACCCTATGCAGATGGAGATCAGCAGAAGGCAGGCGTGGTGTCATGATGCCATTCATACAGTAGCATGTACTTTAAGATGAGATAATGGTTTTCCCTAAGGTTTTTAGATGATGCAGCTTAAGCTTTCTGGATTGTTGGGTTTTTTTCCCAGTAAGATTTCAGCTGCTCATAAAACTGCTGAGACTTGTGGCTGAATGAATATTAGCATTAAATAGCATTAAATTTTCCAGATTTGCCTTCTAAAATAAATAGGAGGACTGTATTCTCTTTGGTAGCTGACCAGCTTTGGACTGTCAGATCACTATAAAAAAATGGAACAGGCTTTTGGTAATGAGGAGACTATCAGACATTTTTGTGACTGAGGAAACTGTTTTTCTAGAATTTATAACTTAGATCCTGAGAGTTAGAGAGAGCATAGAGCCTATCAGGCTATCAAACAAGGTGTTAAAACAGTATTTTTGAGATTCAGCTTAAGTCTCTCAGGTGAAGCAGAGGCCACTTTATTTCTGAATGAAACTGTTTTCAGAATTGTTTATCTCCACAGCTTTATGGATCAGGCCTTTGTCTCCCTAGGTGACTATCTGTCCATGAATCTTCAATCTTTTGTGCTGGATATTATATTTGGAAAATATATCTGTTGCTTCTGATTGAAAGAAAATGATCCAGTGATCTTTACTGGCTAAAAGCTCACTTTATGCATTGGGACTTTTTCTGAATGAAACTGATATTGCAGGTGGCTTGCTGGTTCTTTTCTCTTGCAGGGCCTTATGTGCAGGTTCCCATGATTTTCAAAGAGCTTCAAATGGAAGGGTTTATTGTGAGTCGATGGAGGAACCGCCAGGAGGAAGGTCTGCAGGCCCTGCTGAAGTGGGTCGTGGAGGTAAGGAAGGAAGGAAGGAAGTTGTTTGTAAGGTGTACTCACACTGCAGAGTCCATCTTTGCAAGAGGTCTCTTGTCATGGCTGTTTAGGTGAGGTCCCAGCATGATGCTTTCCTTCTCCATGTCTTGAGACTCTTGGGGACACTTAAACTATAGTAAATATGCGTGATCCCTTCTGTTTTGTTGAGATGTGTGATATCAGCTTATAGACTCAGATATAATCCAGAATACATGTAAGCTTTGAAGAAGCATGTTTCCAGAATAATTAAAAAATACTTACCTGATAATGAAGACTGTCATAGTTAGAATAATTCCTGTATCTCTCATTCAGTCATTTGTAGTATGGGCCAGGATTTCCATTGTAGTATCCTGCTGAAGTTACTGGCAAGAATGAATTTATAGTACTGGGAGCTGGGCTTTAAAGGGATTTAATAGAGAATTTCTTGTGTTTTATTTTTCTAAGTGGAGGCTGAGTTAGTAACCGAGTTCATGGCTGTGAGAAGTTTGTGAGTGTGACAGTAAAGGTTAAGAGACTCTAGCTTTTACAAACATGAGGTTTTGGGATGGGTCAGGTTTTGATCACTGGATTTGCAATTCCATATCTCTGTATGGGTAGAGACAGGTCTGGTTTGGGTAAATGATCCCGTATCTGTTAACTGTTTGGGGACCAAGTAGCAATAAATCTGTCCTGGTATGTTTTACTTCCTGTTATGGTTCCAAGTAAAAGGTTTTACAACAAAAGCAGATACAGGAGCCCACCTGGTTTTGCAGTTATCCTGGTGCATATCAGCATGCGTGTTTCAAATGGAATATATATGCTGGAGAAAATATTGCTGCAATTCATTCAGTTTTGATGGATGAAAATTCAGCAATTTTCTTTCTTATTTTTGACAGGGGAAGGTGAAGTGCCATGAACAAGTCACTGAAGGATTTGAGAACATGCCAATGGCTTTTATAGGAATGTTAAAGGGAGAAAATCTTGGAAAAGCTGTTGTAAAAGTGTGAAAATCAAATATTCCTGGGAGACTGGCACAGGAGAATGTGATTCTGTCAAATGCTTTTAATTCATTTGTCAGGTCATGTGATCGGTATGTTTCAATCATTTTGCTAGATGTTTAGTGATGGTAACTTCTGTTAATAATTTGGCTAATAAGTCTAAGTATAGTCAGTTGCTTTGCTCTTGAAGAAATTGAGAATTGCTTCCCAGAGCTACACAAAACAAAGTGCCTTAAAATTGCTGAAAATCAGAACTGTAACAGATCTGATAGTAGCTTGAAGCTTTCTATGAGCAGGCTTGTAGAGAGGAAAATCAATTTGAAAAGCTTTCCTAACTGATGGCACATTTAACTTTTACCCATTGATTCGGCCCAGAACTTTGTGAGGGGGATTTTTTTAACCCACATCAAGGAGCGGAGAGCAAGCTAAGCTAACAACACTTGGGGATTCCAGCTTCCTCTCTGCCTGGCTTTTTTAAAAATTTCTTCATTAAACAGTGTAACTATCTTAGTTATTCTGAGAATATGAAAAGGAAAAATAAATCTCTTAATATATACTTTGCTTATGTTATATTTCTATTTGTGGAACACTCTCTCTGTCTCACTTCCTTGTGGTTAACACAGAGGAGCTAAAATATTGCAAGGACTTGTTTATCCCAGCAGACGTCAGTGCAGATTATATGGATAGATTACTAATTTCCTTGAGAAACTTGTTGGTGTCCAAGCTTGGGGCTGACCTTGCCATAGTGTTCACCCTGGCTCTCTGGGAAGGTGAGATGAATATGATGGCCCCACCCTGTGTTAAACTGGTGTCCAGCACACACAATGTGCCAAACAAAGGAGACACACAGATTAGCAACTGTAGATATCTTAGATGTTCTGAAAAAGAACAAGGACCTGTTACTATGGGATACAGACAGACATTGAAGGTAATAGTGATCCATTTTCAGTCACTGTGGAGGACTTCTTTGTTAGTTTGAAGGTTTCATTACTGATCCTTGACGAGAGATTCCAGGCAGCCTTAATATCTTTGCAGTGCCAGGGTTAGATGCCCTCTATGTCAACAAAAAGGGATCACTTACTTAAGATATAGATTGACAATACTTGCTAAGCGGACTTAACAAAACACACCCTGAAATGCAGGTCAGCTGGCCACTGGGGAAATAATGAACCTTGGCACAAGTGAGGAGGAGGTTCTGGTAGCTTCATAGTGTTTTTTGAGGAGAATAAATTGACAATTTGAGTAAGCTCCAGTGCTGTGGTTTTACACTGGCCACTGAGGAAAATCTGTGGACTAATACCACTGTATATTACATAAAATGTTAAACCAAAAAAGGGAACTTCTTGTCAGTAGGCTTCAGATGCACTGAGTAGAAGTGTGCTGTTGTGTGGTATCTCTTTGTTGAGGAATTTTCAGAGGGCTTGCAATTCCTAAAATACTGAATTAAATCCTGTGAATTAATTATCTCTTGTTTCAAGTAAAGTGATGATTGGGAAATGAACTAAGAACAGCCACATGGAGTCCCTTGGTAAGAGTTGCAGAAAGATTTGTCAGTTAGCTTCCTCCTAAAATACTGATCTGTACATTCCCCTTGCTGTGTGCAGATTATATGCTTCATAAATAGCAGTTGATTTTGCAAGGCTGTTTAACCATAAAAATATAACTTTTCTGTGTAAAATCAACACCACACACCTCCAAGCCTCTGAACTTCTCTGGGGAATATATTCTTCTGAAAATCCAAGTTTTCTGTTACACATCAGGAGCACTGCCACTACATGAATAATGACAATTATGTCCTCAAAGTTCTGAGTTTGTGGAACAATACCTGGATTTTTTCCACATGTTGAAAATAAAGAGGAAATACTAAAATTTTGCATTTTTTTACTTGTGGCAGTGGCCCAAGGCAGGATGAAGGTCTCTCTGTTTTGCCCTGCTAGTGAAGCAGGCTAATCCTATGAGTACAGTCAGGGTGATGAAGTTAACAAGGTGCCAAGGTCCAGCCTAGAACAAAGATGCAGCAATGTGTTGCTGGGATTGGCTTTTCTGCCAGTACATGGCTGTGTGTTTTTAGAGGCAGAGCCCTTGCAGGCAGTCCAGCCTGTCCTCTGACATCTGCACAGGGCCTGTGAGCAGCCCTCTGCCAGGCACCCCCTCTTCTAACATTATTACTCTGCAGCTGATCTTAAAGGCTTGCTGGGAAGGGGTGAGCTCCAGTGGTCCCACTGGCTGTCAGAAGGTGTTGCAAGGGCTTGCGTGGGGCTAGGTTAGTTCAGCAGTTCTTCACTGCGTGTGTCTGCAAAGATGGAAAGGGTGTCAGCTCAGCCCAGGGTGCAGTGGTCATTCTTTAATCACCTTGCAGCTGTGGTTATCTGATACTCATCTCTGGTCTTTTTCTGCCGTTTTTCTCCAGCCCACATGGTCATGTTTGTGCCACTATATAAGTTACAGTGCGCAAGTAGGGTGGCAGCGGGATTCTTGAGACTGTATTATCCCATTTAATTGAGGATGTAATATTTGAGAGCGAGAGCAAGAGGAAGAGTGTATGTTATCTTAAATGTAAAGAGCTGCAGGCTTCATAATGTATTGGCTAAATAGCTCTTCATTTATACATATTGTTGTTTCTAGCGTGGTGGCTTAACTGCTTAATGCCTTATGCTTGCTTGTGCAAAATGAAGCAGTCTCTAGAGTTGTTCCAGGCTCATAAATATGCAACTTTTATGTCCTGTTCCTAAGCAACATCAAACTGGGGCTGGTGACAATAACTTGCCTGAGCTCAGGACATAGTGGGTACCTCCTTGAGGAGTTCACAGTGGCCTGCCACACCAAAGGGGGCCTCAGGAAGCACTGGGAATTGTTGCAAAGGACTGTGGGTTGTTGAAACCAGGGAGCTATCCCTGGAATCCATTGCTGCCTGATGAGCTGCTCTCATGGTCCCCCCCAGGGTCAGTGCCCACAGGAGGGATCATAAGACACTATGGCCCAGCCACAGCATCCATTTCATATGAGGTGAGATCTATTTCCCCCACTGGGTCAAATCCAGCCTTAAACCTGCTACCACCTCTGCCTGTACTGGAGCAAGCAAGCCATACCTCTGATCCTTTGCTTTTATTTTGCTCCTATGATCCCTTACTTTAATTGTTCACCTCCACATCTGCTCCAGACAGGTTAGCTTGCTGCTGGACATTACCTACAGTGTAGGGAGATGACTCCTGTCCTTATCGTCAACCCATCATCACTACCTCAGTGTGGGCTCAGCCTCCTTTCGAGCAATCCTGCATAGTGCTGCCCATTGTGTTTCCCTTATCAGCAGGATTAACAGATGCAGTTCATGGTGTGTGTCCTAGCTCTCCCCTAAGTGTCCCTCTCAAAGGAACTAGAAACAAAGGTTGAAATACCAGACTTCATTGTCTCCCTGAGCAAATGTCATGGATTTATTTAAGTAGAGGGGAGATGCCTAGTCTAAGACTCTTCCTCCTTCTATGCCTTCTAATGCTTAGCTTCACCACTACCTAGAGTCTGTTTATACCTCTGTTACATCCATGACAAATGCTGCAATTCCTGTAAGCCAGGCAGATGGTGCCACCAGGATAGTAGGAGCCCACCTTCTCCCATGCATTCCCTTCTAGCCCATTACCTCAAGGTACAACCATCACCCCAACACTGTCAGAGAGGCACAAGCACAAGGCATTCAGAGAGCCTGCCTGTTATACACGTGTATAAAACCCACAGACAGCTGTGGCCACCTTGTGGTGCTCTGCATGGCACAAGCTTGTGTTTGTCAGCTGCAGGTAGAAATAGAACTTCATGCAGCTCCCATGCCTCCCTCACCTTGTGTGTCTATCAACCTGGACTGTAGGAGGAAAATTGCATTTCAGGTGGATGTCCATCTCCACTATCTCCTCAGGTGTTTTCAAGTTTCTCAGACTCATCCAGTTCATTCTTATCAAGGTCTTTTTACTGCAGGGGTGGTGAGGACCAGAAGCTGCCACCACATCAGATAGACCCAGTGACAGCCAGCTCCAAAGGGGATTTAACCAATGGCCAAAGCCAAGCCCTCTGTGATATCTGAGTTTAAATAAAAGCTCTAAACTATAGTGGTAGTGAGAAAGGAACAAGAACATATGAGAAAAAGCATCTTGTAAGACACCTTCACTGGGTCAGACTCTCCCACGCTTCACCAAGGGCCAGGGACTAGCACAACAGAGTTAATCCAGCAAGGATTTCAACAGTATACTCCTCAAGCCAATTCCTTTGGTGGCTGAAAGCTGCATGCCAATAGAGCACAACACAGAGGAGCTGCCAGGCCAGTTTGTTGGCATTGGTAAAAAAATATATGTAATTTTTTAGCTTGGTAGATCCAGCTAGTTTTAATGTATGAACAGTTAAGAAATTAAATATTGAAATTATTACCAACACTCTTACTAGAATCATTCCGGGGGAGAATTAAAGTCTCCATTCAGGTCAAGGAAAGAAGGGAAAGCAGATGGCTAGCTGGAGTTGCAGTTAGGTTGACTGCTGCAAGAGATGGGAGACATGTGGGTGGTTAAGCACCTCACATGCATGACATACGCTTCTCCAAGTATGCAACAGCCCTTTCAGAACCCCCGGATGGAGGTAAGGAGTGTCACTATTCCACTGCAATCTGATCAAGCATAGTTCACATGTCCACTCACTGTGATCCCTTGGCCCTTCCTTTCATGTTAGTCCTCTCTCATTAAGCCTAATTATTCCAGCTATGTGTTTTAATTGCTGTACTCAAGGAAGTACTTCTCTTCCTGTTGGCCAGCCCATTATAAGCAAGCTACATAACAGGCCTGCAGACTAAAACATCTTGTTTTTCTTGTTTGACAGCAAGGGACAGATCTCAGCTATTTCATAGCCAAATGACACAGACTGCAGTCATTGCCTGAGGGGAGAATTTCTTCCTGAAACCCTTATTCCCAAAAGAAACCTTTCCATGTTGTTTTTTCTCTGTCATGTACATCAAGTCTACCAAACATTCAAGTCAGTTGGCTACCTACTCTCTTCCCTTTTACAGGCATCTTTGCAGATCATTGGATCAAAGCAGCCAATTCTGTTCATTCAAGAAAGAGACCACAGTGTTTAATGAAAGAGTGAATGCTGTACTACTGCCTGGCACATAGCAATACTGGCCTCACACCTTCACACAAAAAAACAAACAAAAAATGCACCTACCCAGCTCTCTATGAAGTAACATTACTTAATACTTGTGGGAGGGCATATGCCCTAGGCTTTAGCAAGGATATTCATACCCATTCCATTAAGAACAAAACGTTTATTTGCTATACCTAGGCTGGTTAAAGACTGAAACACCCACCCTGTCCTTGCCTGTTGAAAGATTCAAGCCAATTCCCATCCTGAACTAGGGTTCTCTCCTCCCAGTATGGGGGCACTTGTGCTCTAGGAACCAGGCTCCTTATGTATAACCAGAACAAAGCATAGGCTTTGCTTTCCGTCACCTGTAATGACAAGGACCAACTACAAACAGTCAAATTCTGGCATAACTTTGCATTTGAGGACCATGTGTTGTTTCCT